TCCTCTTCCTCCTCCTCGCCCAAGGCCGTCCACGGCCACAGCAGAGCCGAAACCCGACCGAACCGACAACGAAACCGAAACCGAAACCGAAACCGAATCCGACCGAAACCGACAGGCCACAAGCGGCCGAGCAGGGCGCACCGACGCGGCAACGCCACACGATAACCAGCCGAAGCGATCCGAGCCGAACGAACGCAACCGAGTGCGACGCAGCCAAACCGACCGAACCGCGAACACCCTCAAGGAGGGGGGGGAGAGGGAGGAGGAGGAGAAGGAGGAGGAGGAGGAGGAGGAGGAGGAGGAAAAAGAGGAGGAGGAGGAAGAGGAGGAGGAAGAGGAGGAGGAGGAGGAGGAGCAGGAGGAAGAGGACGACGAGGAGGGGGAGGAGGAGGAGGAGGAGGAGGAGGAGGAGGAGGAGGAGAGGAGGAGGAGGAGGAGGAGGAGGAGGAGGAGCAGGAGAAGGAGGAGGAGGAGGACGAAGGAGGAGGAGGAAGAGCCCTCCCTCTCCCAAGCGACGACGGCGAAGACGGCCACGACTGTCCTGCAGTCGCGCGCTGGCCGCGTCCGTCAGCTCTGGCCGCAGGCCGCGCGCGAGCCGGACGTGGCGGCGCAGGCGCTCCTCCTGGGGGCCTTTGGGCTCCTCGCCGCCGGGGCAAAGGGGGAGGAGAGGAGGGAGGGAGGGATGGCAGGAGGGAGAGAGGAGGGAGGGAAGGAGGGATGGAGGGAGGGAGGAAGGGCGGAAAGGGGGGAAGGGAGGAAGGGAGGAAGGGAGGAAGGGAGGACGGGAGGAGGAGATGAAGGGAGGAAGGGAGGAACGGAGGAGGAGGAGGAGGAAGAGGAGGAGGAAGGAGGAGGAGGAGGAAGAGGAGGAGGAAGAGGAGGAGGAGATGGAGGAGGAGATGGAGGAGGAGCAGTAAGAGCGCAAGTACCTTCCCTGTCTGTGTCCCTTGTTAAATACAGGTGGTGGCGAGCGCGGCAGCGCGCGCGTGCTTGAGCTGGATTGGGCTCACAGGACCCTGCTGGTTCAGCAGAGGACGGAACTTGTGGTACATGTGGAAAGCAAGCACGAGCCCGTGGTGATATGCAAGGCGGCCATTCTCCGAACCCGTGTAGTCGATTTCAGTACCAAGCCCAGAACGCACCAGAGGGGACTCAGACAAGGAGGGGAACTCGGGTTGGAGCTCGGTCGCCTCCCACTGGGGGCGGCAAACCATGTAGTGACGAATGTCGTCAGGGGCCTCTTCTTGAATCGGCAGCGGCATTGCGGAAGTATCTTCGCACGGCCCGGCGTTACCCACGCGCCCACGACAGACTTCACGTGAGGCCACGACCGACTGGGAGCCCGTCTATACAGCAAGTCTATGACACGCCCCCAGCGGAACCCAAGGACATGGGCCTCCAAGACGGGCAAGTCGGGGAACCACCTTCGGAGCCTGCGAGCACTTAGTCAAGGCATGCTGCCTGGAATGGTCTGTTGTTGGATGCCGAGCGAGCGCCGCACCTGAAACTGGGGAGGCGCAGTGTGGCCCAGAGCGTTGTGAGCCTCGGCTTCAGCGTCAGGGGGGGGCTGGCGGGGGATAGGGAGAGAAAAAGGAAGAGGGGCGATAGGGTCCGAGGTCGAACGCAAGAGAAAGAAAGAACAGTGCGGGCGCGGCCGCAGCAAACCCTCGCAAGAAGCCCAACCCTGAGAACCCGTGCGCGAGGTGCACCTGAGGGGAGACCCGGAGCACCCTGAACGCAGCAGCTCCTTCAACGGCTGCGGGAAGTCACCGCGCAGCGCGAGATGCGAAGAAACCCAGGATACCCTGACGAAAAGCAGATGGCTTCTCGATGCGCGCCCCCACTGCAGGAGAAGGCCCGGGCGATCCCCGCTGCAGTGCGCCAGCACGGGGCGCACCAGTTCTGCGCGATCGCCCGCGGCACGCCGCCGACGCTCCAGGCGCGCCCGCGGAGTCTCGCCACCGCGGGGGGGCCAGCCTCGGAACGTCCGCCCCGCCGCCCTCCGCATGCACGAGCAGCACCCCCCCCCCCTGTCGTTTCCAGAGGTTCTGGGGCCCCACGCCGAGGTAGATAATCCAGCCCAGGCACAGCAAAAGAGGGTGGGGGAAGACGGAACGTCCGCCCCGCCGCCTGCCACATACACCACCACCCCACAATCGGCTCCAAAGGCTCTGGGGCCCCGAGCCAACGTAGACAATGCAGCTCGTGCAGCACAAAAAGAAGATGGGGGGAAGGCGGAGCAGCTCGTGCAGAGCGTGGGGACCCACGCTGCAACGGACGGGGCTGGGAGAGGGAAGGGCCTGGGCGATGCACGGAAGACATGGGGCGCATGACCCATCCCACACAGTCGGGTGCTCGCGTCGGTCGGCGAGCGCGTGCCTGCTGCATGTCTACTGCATGTCCACCACGCGCCCTGACGCGAACTGGTCTTCGAGGGTGGCTACAGGTCCAAATTGGATAAATGAGTGCAGAAGCTGCAGATGACGATTGCAGAAGCTGCAAATGAGGGAATCCGCACAGGCAGGGGCCAGACCACGAATAGCTTCTCGAGGCTCAGTAATCTAAGCACCGCCAAGAATCTTCCACGTCGGTGCGAGACCGCATTCTCATGCTTGAGTTCGAGGCAGGCCAGCTCAGCGGCAGCTTCGAACGGTGGGGGAAGGAGAGGAAACAGGGAGAGGTCAGGGAGAGAAGCGCCCACGTCGTCAGCGCAAACGCCAGCAGTGAGGAGGAGGGGGGAGGATAGAAACTACCTGCTCGGCTCGCTCCTCTCGGGAGTCACGACGTGGAGGCTGGGCGGCGAGGGCTTCAATGCCAACTTCGCAGGCAGTAGCGAGGCGGCGGCAAATTGGGTCCACCCCCAGAGCCCACAACGTGCCACAGCCCTGGGGGACCCCACGAGAGATGACAAAAAACGGTGCTTCTCAGACCTAACTTTCAGGACGCCTGAGCTGTCTGACGCCAGAGCCCGAATCGCGTTCAGGTGTCCTCGGGGTAGGTTAAACCTCTGGGGGACTGCGTGGAGCCACTGCTGTGACATGCTAGGGAACGCGGCACAGGGGCAACATGCGGGCGCATCCTCGCCAATACTACTCAGGCGAGCCTCGGCATCAAGGTCAATAATGCGAGCTCCAAACTTACGTCCGCTGACGCATCCCACCTGAATGGGGTGTGCATTTCTGCTGAGCTACTTTGCGTACATGAATGCCAACGGTCTGGGCGAGGGCCTTGCTGTTTTTTTCCCACCTCAGCGGGCGCAGGCAGCTGGCATCCCTCGCGCAGTCGGTGAGATCTTGAGGACCGTCACTTCTGGGGGGCGAAGACACAGTCCGAGCGATGTAGGCCTTCGGCAGGGTCACTTTTGAGGGCGAAGACACAGTCCGAGTGATGTAGGCCTTCGACGAGGACCCCACCAGAAAACAACCGTAACATCACCGCACGCAAGAACTCAGCGGCTGCAGGAGCGGTCCCCCGCGCACCGCGCGGGAGGCGGTCGGGGCCGCGGGGGGGAGGCCCTCCCGCGTTGCAGGGCTCTCGCGAGGTCTTCGGGCGAAGGGGCGGTCGGCGAAGGGCACGGGGGGAAGGGGACGGTCGAAAGATTGTCAGGTCGGGCGTGTCCTCCTACAGGGAGATCTTGGGCGAGGAAAACACAAGAGCCCCCAATGTGTTCAGGAATCGCAGACAATGCTCAAAACATCGTCCCAGACCAGTTCTGAACTATGCTTGGACATTCCTCCTGCAGAGGGGCCTGCCCGACTTCAAGCTGTGGGGGGGCGGCGGCCCCAGAGCCCGACGCCGCCGCCAAGATGGGCTGCCGGCGGGGCCCGATCAGCTCGCTCATCTCGGAGGTATCGCGGCAGACGGAGTCGACGCCGCCCTGCGCGAGCTTCGACCCATTGAGCTCAAATCGGGCGCGCCCCTCTACAGGGGGGAAATATAGAACAACAGTCCAACAAATCGTCAGGGCACCATTTGTCGAAGACTAGTAGTGTGCAATTCTGGAACATGTTTCAGACAGTATATACGGATTTCCCCCCCCAAACCCGCATGTGGGGGGACATGCGCGACCGAACATTGAGCACCCAGCGCCTGCGCGAGCTAGCATTGAGCACCCGGCGCCTGCGCGAGGGGTCCCGTGCCAGCGGCCCATACCGCTGCCTCGGCATGCTTGTGAGGATCTCTTGGGAGGTCTCGCGGATACCTCTTGGAGGCGATCTTGAAGGTGTCTGAGGAGCTTCTTGGGGCCGGATTTGAGCCTCTCGAGGCCTCTTGGGCGCACCTCGGGGGCTTGTGGGGGGATCTTGGAGTCATTTTGCAGCCCTGCCGCGCCGACGTCTGCGGCATCGTCGCGCGGTCTGCGGCGCCCGCGGGCGCGTCGCCGCCGGGGGCGCCGCCGCGTGGCGGGGCGCGCGGGCCGGCAGGGCGAGCGGCCTCCTGGGCGACCTCCCCAAAGGAAGGGGCCCACAAGAGCACAGAAAGAAATACGCACGAACAAAAAGATTCCCCATATCTTTTCTCATGCTTTCTGGGCTTTCGTCTTCCCCCCCACTTCCCATAGTTTCCAATATCTTCCTGGGAATCGACGACTCGTTGTGTCTGTGTTTTTTTTTTCCTCTCCTGATCGAGGAGCTGCCGGCTGGCGGCGAGCGCCGCCTCGCGGAACCCGGCGGGGCGCGCGGCGCAGGCGGCGCCGCCCTCGGCGATGTGCACGGAGTGCCCGGCCGGGGGCGAAGGCCCGCGCAGGCGGCGACCGATAGGGGGCCACGTGCGAACCCTACCCCTACCCCCCACGATTTTTGAGGGGGAGGATTGCCTAAAACTCGCGAGGAGGAGAAGGAGGAGGAGGGGGAGGGGGAGGAGGAGGAGGAGGAGGAGGAGGAGGAGGAGGAGGAGGAGGAGGAGGAGGAGGAGGAGGAGGAGGAGGAGAGAAGGAGGAGGAGGAGGAGGAGGAGGAGGATGATGCCCGCGGGGTGAGGCGGACCGCGTCGAGCCACGGCCACCCCTGCGAGGCGCGCGCCCCACGCGCGCCCGCGCCTCGGCGCAGCTACGCGCCCGAGGCTGTCGGCCAGGCCTCACCCCGCGCGGCCCGCAGCAGCCTCGCCACCTTGGCTGCGAAGCTTGGCGAGCTGCTGCGCTCCCGCGCGCCGCGCCGCGGCCTCGGCCAGCCGCCTCCGCCGCCCGCAGCCCCTGCTTCGCATCGAGCAGCAGAGTCACCTGCGGGCGGCAGCCTCTCCTCCTGCAACCCGCCCTCCATGGCCACGTAGTCGCCGCCCGCAGCCCCTGCTTCGCATCGAGCAGCAGGTTCCCCTGCGGGCGGCTGGACCTCCTCCTGCGGCCTGACCTCTGTGGCCTCGCGCGGCGGGGACGGTCCGCCGTCACTGCCACCAGCAGCCACCTCGTCTCCTCTCTGTGCAGGGCCCGCCACAGGCCGCTGGCACTCGTCCTGCTGCTTGGCCACCTTGGCCACACGCCTCAGCGACTGCGAGGGCGGCGTCAGCTCGGCCAGCCTCGGTGAGCTGCTGCGCACTCGCGCACGGCGCCGCAGTCCTGGCCCTCCGCCGCCGCCCGCAGCCCCTGCCTCTCCTCGTGCCGCGGCATGGCGCACCGCGGCTGCACGCCTGCCGCCAGCTCGCCCGCTCG